AGGAAATGCCTGAAGACATGACAGAAGCAGAATGGACGAAATTAAATCGGCAAGCCTGTGGAATTATTCGATCCTGTCTTGGCAAGGATCAGAAATATCCATTTATGAAGGTTACCATGGCGAAAGAATTATGGGACAAGCTTGAAGCGAAATATATGAAGAAGAGTGTGGAAAATAAACTCTATTTGAAGAAGAAACTCTTCCGTTTTGATTACAAGGAAGGCATCTCAATGGCTGAGCATTTGGATGATTTTAACAAAATCATCACTGATTTGCTCAATCTTGATGTTAAGATTGATGACGAGGACAAGGCGTTGTTGTTATTAAACTCCTTGCCGGAATCCTACGAGTTTGTAGTAACGACCCTACTACATGGAATCACTAATATTGATTTTGAAGATGTTTCAAATGCCTTAATAAACAATGAGATGCGAAAGAAGGAAAAGGAGACATATCAAAGCTCTAGCTCAAATGTTCTCACTGCTCATGGAAGGACTTCCAATTGGAAAAAGAACGAATGTGGAGAGCCTCGACTAAAGTCGAGAGGTAGATCTGATAATTGGAGAAAACTTGATAAAAATGAGTGTGCATATTGTCGACAGAAAGGCCATTGGAAAAAAGATTGTTCGATCTTAAAAGAGAAGGGGTCGAAGTCCAATGTGGTTAGAGATGACGACACTGATACAGATGATGCCTTGACAATCTCCCTATCAGTCAGCCAAACCAGTGAATGGATTCTTGATTCTGGGTGCTCCTATCATATGTGTCCCAACAAAGAGATGTTTTTGGACTTCAAGGAGTTCAATGGTGGAGTTGTCTATATGGGAAATGATAGTACTTGTAAGATAATGGGAATCGGCTCAGTACAAATCAAGATGTTTGACGGGGTTATACGAAAACTCAAAGATGTGAGGTATGTCCCTGACTTGAAGAAAAATTTGATTTCACTTGGCGTTTTGGATGCGAGTGGTTATCGCATCATTTTGGAAGGAGGGAATTTGAAAGTAGCTCGTGGAGCTTTGGTGGCAATTACAGGAACTAGAAGAGGTAGCATATACTACCTCAACGGAACCACAATAATTGGGCATGTTGCTGTGGCAAGTTCGAAAGAACAAGACATATCGAAATTATGGCACATGCGACTCGGGCATGCTGGTGAGAAGGCGCTTCAGACACTGGTGAACCAAGGAGTTCTTAAGGGTGCCACAACTGGAAGAATTGATTTCTGTGAACATTGTATATTTGGCAAACAAAAAAATGTGAAATTTGGTACATCTATACACCAAACAAAGGGCATTTTGGATTATGTTCACACTGATGTATGGGGTCCCACAAAGAATGTCTCATTGGGAGGAAAGAGGTGGTTCGTCACCTTTATTGATGACTACTCGAAGAGAGTTTGGATGTATCCCATGAGGCACAAAAATGAGGTTCTCCAAATCTTCCTAGAGTGGAAGAAAATGGTAGAGAATCAGACGGACAAGAAAATCAAAAGGCTGAGATCAGACAACGGGGGAGAATATACTTATGATCCATTCCTTAAAGTATGCCGAGATGAAGGGATCGTTCGACACTTCACTGTTCCTGGTAAGCCACAACAAAATGGAGTTGCTGAGAGAATGAACCAGACATTAATAGAGAAGGTTCGATGCATATTGTCTCAAGCAGGATTGAGTAAGGCATTTTGGGCTGAGGCTCTCAGTTATGCAGTTCACTTGGTGAATCGTTTACCTGTTTCTGGAAACGGTGGGAGAACTCCGCTTGAGGTATGGTCAGGTAGTCCTGTTAGTGATTATGATAAATTACATGTGTTTGGGTGTCCTGCTTATTATCATGTGACAGACTCAAAGCTGGATCCTAGAGCAAAAAAAGCCAAGTTTATGGGCTTTAGCAAAGGTGTGAAGGGCTATAGGTTATGGTGTCCAGAAACAAGTAAGATTGTTAATAGTCGAGATGTGACATTCGATGAGTCTGGAATGTTTTTGCAGAAAATTGAAAATAATGACGAGGCATTGAAGCAGGTGGAGAAGGTGGTGTTCTCTCCTGATGTGGTTGCTCCTACTGAAGAACCTATTGACCAGGTAAATAATAACTTTGATGTCTTAGAACAGAAAGAGCAAAGTCTGGAGGAGCAAAGCCTTGTAAATGAAAGAGTGGAGGAACCTGAGTCTATCGCCAAGAATAGACCACGAAGGGTAATTCGAAAACCTGCAAGGTTTGATGATACGATAGCATATGCTTTCTCTATAATTGATGGAGTTCCCAACTTACGTATTGAGGCTTGAGGTGGTAGCAACCAACTCAGTTATCAACTTGGAGATCTTATGACAAGGTGGAGATTGTTGTAAATTGTCATTAAGTTTTGATTTGATTTGGAGATCTTATGACAAGGTGGAGATTGTTGTAAATTGTCATAAGTTTTGATTTGATTTGGTTTTTGGATTATATTTGATTTGGTTATTTGAATTAGATTTGATTTGGTTATTTGAATTAGATTTAGTCACACCAGGGTTTAGTTATATATAGGGATTTGATATTAGAATTTGGTATCGGAATTTGGGAGAGCTTTCGGAGTCACATTGTATTTGTTGAGTGACATGTGTTCTGAGTCTTTGTAGTGTGATAGTGAGATATTCACTTGTAATGCTTTGGTTTATTAGTGATTGGTTCGTGGATGCAGGGGAACTTCTCTCCGAACCACGTAAATATCTTAGTGCCTCTTTGTGTAAAATCGTTCATTGGTGTTGTGAGTACCTTTGTTCCGCTTTCGGCGCACAACAATTTGTACTTATATTATCAAGTCTTTAATCCAGAGATTTTAAGTGGAAAGATCCTTAGGCAAGGAAACTTGAAACTCGCAGTTCTGAAGCACGTTAGTTTAAATTTAGCAGACGAGCAGGGATTGCTATAGCCTGTGCTTATGGTTAGTGCTTCTTGCATTGCATACCAAGCACATCTAGAGTCTCTGCATTCTGCTGCTTATAGTAGTATTGACGTTCAACAATGAACCTCGGGTTTCTCATTGAGAAAACCTGGTCCTGACAGTTTCAACTTGTGTCGTTTTGATGCCACGATCCTGTGTTCAAACCTTCACAGAATGGTGACATCGAGGCTGAACCAGGAAGTCTATGTTCTAGTCATAACATGCACTGTGATTTGAAAACTGCAGTGTCTCCTTGCATGATTTGATCTTTGGCTAAGATACTATAATTGGCAGTTCAACAGTAAGTTTCACTTTTTACACCTGTTGGCAAACTTGAAATCGTTGCTTGAAAATTTAATGCAGGCAATGCAACTGATCTTTCAAGATTAGCATTCAAAGCCTTTTCGTCAATAGACCATGCATGGTGAGAAAAATTCAGAGTAGAAAATACAATGCTGTTACATTACATGAGCTTGATCCGTGATGGAATCATATGTTCACATTCATACAAGCACAATTGCCATAGATTATTGACATATTATAGACGATAATTGCTCCCTATTCAGATGTAGTGCCTCAAGTTTAGCTACCCATAATCCTATCACTGTGCAAGTACCTTGAGTTTATTTTCATTTCACACTTGGAAAAACTAGAGGAAGACAAATCTCCGTATAAACAATGCTAACTTCTCAGACATCTATTATTTGCAGTCATTCAGGATGTTACACCCTTGATAAGACTGACATTCAGTTCAAATCCTGTAAGAAAGCTTTACAGAAGTCGGGATATAGATTACTTAGCTCCACAGAGTTAGAAACAAAGTTGAAAAAGTGATTGAAAGTTGGCTGCAATGATATTTACATGGTAGCTTTGGTACATGTGATAATAGTTAGATTTTGATTTTTATCGTCTAACATAGAGCTTTTATACTCAATTTGCTTACCCTGATGCCAATGTAAAGTTGATGGTTCATGCCTATACATGTTGAAACCATAAAAGCTCTAGCATTATTTCCTGCTTCAACTAACCCGTAATGTTTATGTTTAGTTATCTTGCTCTATTTACGGTCAGAATTATCATTGAGATGTATCTATTACTTTTGTTGATGTATGGTATATGGCAATGGCATAGATTATGGACCTATCATATATCATTATCTGATGAGAAGATTTTATGAAATGCTTGTCTCTTCTAGTTTCAACTCGATGGTTTACAGAAAAGTCATTGATACTTGAATAAGCACATCAGTCTGCTTTCAGCAAGCTCTGTTACTGCTTGATCTTCTTTGGTCAAGACTCGTGATTTTTGCTCTTGAATTGAGGAATCTTACTAATGTTCCTTTGATTTCTTAGGTATGACATTGCTTCGTTCCTCAGTTACCGAGTTAATTGCCATGGAGAACTAGTAAGCTTTCCCACACAATTCATATACTTCTTTAGAGAGTTGCAAATAACACAAAATACTTGATTGTCTTCTACTCTTTGTGGCTTATTACTATAAAACCATCAGAAAAATGTTGGCAGATATTTAGATGAAGAGAAAAGCCTCATAATCTGCTGTGCTCTGTATTCTAATGCATTGGAACAAACTTCACAGGAAGCACGAGTTCGATATACTGGCTTCGGAAAGGATGAGGATGAGTGGTGAATGTTGCAAGAGGAGTGCGTGATCGGTCCATACCTTTGGAATCTTCAGGTGTTACGCAGTGAAAGTTGGAGATCTTGTGTTATGTTACCGGGTACATTTATGTTACACAGAAAAAGAAAAAAGAAACCAACGAGAACTGGAGAGAGGAACCAAACAGAAAAGAAAAAAAAAAAGTGCAAAAAATGCCAAAAGGCGAAACCTAAACCAGATTCTATAAACCAACCTACCACGGGGAGGAATATAAGTACTATAATTGTCTGGTTACCAGGAAAGCTTCATATCGAACGGTAATTGCTCATTATTTTATTGTTATTATTATTATAAAAAATTAACAAGATCATCATATAAAGGGAGAAAGAAGTCATTAGTGCGAGAAATGTTTCAAGTCATGTCATCTTACGTAGTTTTATGTCTTATTTATACAGGAAAGACATGATCATGCGCTCTACCTCAATGCATACGTTCTTGAGATTCTGCCTTATTTGCTTAGGAAAAAGTAAATTTGTGGAGATTGTTCTGCTGGGATTTAGAGTACAATGTAAATGGAATCCCGAACCTTCATTCCTCAGAAGGTACATTTACAAGCTGTTGCTTGGGATTTACCGTAAAAAATTGGGTAACTGTCAGAGCTACAAACTGAACCGAAAATACCTCATTCTGTTAGTAATTATTATGCAACCTGTCAGCGCACAGAAGGATATATGTTCTCGTTTAGGAAAAGGGTGATCCAGCCATTAAAACTGCTTGGAGCCAGGGGGCACTTGAAAAGTGGTTCAATTTTTCAACTTAGACCCTCAAATTGAAATGCTGGGGATCAAACTTCATAGAGGTACTTCTTTCCTTTTTCTCACTTGTCTTCTAGTATGAGTGTGTGTACAGAGAGGGAGAAAAGATTTGAAACAAATTGCACGGCTTAAGTTATCATGGACAATGGGGCAAATATTTCTATAAATAGCATAATTCACAAATATTCTAACAGTTGGTATTGACTTAATTACATTTAATTTGACTAGGACACCAAAAGCAGTTCTCTAAGCTTGGATAGCCCCCTGAATTACCAAGGTCTCTGCGTGTGTCATTTTTCATTTTTCTTTTTTCTCTCTTTTTGTTAGAACAGATAATAGAAGTTCACGAAACTGTTCTTCCATAACATACGGACGCAATATAAAGGTTCTTTGCCCATTTCTCCTGCAGTAGGAAATGATAGATTTAGACAATTTAATAAAGGGAACAGAATCATCACCATCATTTACTGAATCAGAGTTCTATACCTTGACATGGGTACTTGGAAATGCTGATGTTCGAAGTGTCTCTTGTGTTTCGTCAGCAGGCTTTCGCCTTGGCACGCTGAGAACGAGGGCTGCTTGGTCACTGGTTGCTGCAGTTGCAGTGATTCGATACCCACAGTCCCATCGGCGATGAATACCTTCACTAGGGTATAAGAAATCCAACTCGACCACCTGAAGTTTAAGAAAAACGGTCAGGTCAGTTTTGCACTGTAATTTTGTATAACCAGATTAGATGATATTATCCTTTCATTATGTGAAAAATAACCTGATCAGAAAATCCTGCACCACGGGACATAACAACACCCCACCGACTTCCCGAGGTAGCCATTGCCGTTACATAGAATCCCTCTCTCCACTTTTTGTTAATCCATTTGAAAGGAAAAGAATCACTGACTTTGTACGACTGTTGCAAGTACTGTGTGCCTGGAATCATTAAATAGAGATTCAATTGATGAAAGGAAAATGGCATCATTCTTATATAAGATGGGGTAAAATATTCCAACCGACCCTTAGACATTACAACCAATGAGCTCCCATTAACGACTCCGGCTACTGCTGTGATGTAATAGTTCTTTTCCCATTGCTCCATGATCCATTCCTTCAGTTCACAACCAAGTCATCAATAACTAACTTCAAACCCAATAAGCACACTGGACCAATAAAGGTTATTGACGCCATCTGGGGCAAAAAGTAAAAGTAACCTTGTGAAGAAAATGAGGTGAAAGTTCATAAACTTGTGATGAAAACCCAGTGCCAGCATCCATGATTAAGGCCCATAAATTTTGACATGAGGCCACACTACTTATAAACAAGCCATCCTCATTCCCTTTCTCAATATGCTGCGCAAGCCTTACATCAGCTACATTATAGTGATACCTAAACAACAAAATCATTTGTTATTTCAAATAGCTAGATTGATTTTACCACGGCTTTTATACGAGCTATGAGATTAGCATTATAAACATGCATGAATACCTTTGCTTCATTGGCCGCCGAGCATTATAAACACTGATCCATTGGGTTGCAGGCATGCCCATACGAACCTTCTTCTTTGGTTGTTCATCGTCTTCCTCCTCCAAAGTCAATCTGCCTCGCTTATGCCCCACTTGACAAATGAGCTTCAGAAGATGGAAATTCAGTAATAAGATGTCAAACCTCGAAGTTAACTAATTGGGGCTAATTGGGGCGGGGGTCACAAATTTCTATCTGAGCATCATACCTTTTGAGCACCATCTGTATTTATTGGCCTGATTTCAGGATTTGGGCCAATGATTCCATCAAAAAGTGAAATATATTTTGCATAATTAGGTTCTTCGTCAAACTTCAAGTTCACCACATATTCAACAAACTGTTTGAAGGGCTGTGGACAAAAGCAACATAAAGTCTCTGGAGAAGTAGCCATCTTCTTCTTGCAAACAAGGAATCCTTTGTTCTCTCCCTGTAACCAGCTTCACGGTTAGGTCTTATATAATTTTTTTTTTCCCATAGAAAAGCATCAACATGGTAAAAGGAAATTATATACAGGACAAAAGAGACTATTCAACTTAAGAAAAGGTCAACCTGATATCCTTGCCATGGTAGACGACCACGAAGAAGGAAAACTAGGGTGTAGGCAAGAGATTCTAGATCATCTCTCCGGCTACCAGTTCTTCCTAAATGAGCATGTACACTAGCATAGCGCACTGTTCCTCTGTCGAAGAAGAACACAAATGAACCATGACCATCAACAACAGACAGAATCAGGAATACAAAAGCTTGAGAGGATGGAAAAGAAAGAGGTTTATAGAATAAAACAGGATAAAGGTGAACCTGAATACATCAGGTCTCTGATCATATTCAACATGCTGGCCAGAACCATCGCGCCATCTGGTTGCTGACAACGATAAAAACAAAGAGTAATGCAACATACAAATGAATATTAAATGAGAAAAGGTGCAAGTCATGGTATACCTAGTCCAAGATCGACCAAAAACAACTTTTTCTCATCCGGGGTCCCTGAAGGACCAAGCAGAAAATTTTCGGGTTTGACATCACCATGAATATACCTAATGAAGCAATATAATTTTAAATTAGGTATACTAATAATAGAAACCAGATCTAAATGGCTCCCAACATGACCCTTACCCGCGAGAGTGCATTTTTTCCAATATGGATATTGCTTCAATTGCAATGCATGCAACCATTTCAACAGACATTCTGAAATAAGAAAAAGAAACGATACTAAAACCACGTTCAAATGGAAGTTGAGCAAAGTTTCATTTTTACTCACGTATGAGCGTTATTATTCCAAACATCCCACAAGCTTGGCCCCAGCATATCCATAACCTAAAAGATTAAAGTGGCATGTAACGACCTAAAATATGGCCTTCAAAACAATGTAAGATGTAACCAGATAAGAACATACCATAATATAGTAGTCACCTTGTCTACCCTTGTAGTGCACCCGTGGTACACCATGACTACCACCAAGAGTGCTGTGGGATTAGATACAGTATAAGAATCACAAAAAAAGTAACAAAACAAAATAAATGGAGAGAGTTTATACAACCACTCACTTATAAACTTGCCACTCATAAGGTGGTCCATAATTACATCCCTTGCTACTTCTATGCTCGAATTTCAAAGCCACCTATCATCAGAAACTTCGTCCAATGTAACACATGTATAGAGAGAGAGGGAGAGAGGGGTGGGAATTGATGCTTACCTCCACAGCACCCGGGCCGGTTCTCTCATTTGTATTAACAGTGGAGGCACGCCGTCCAACATAAACCTGTCCAAATCCACCTTTACCTAGCTTTCTATCTATCTTGTAGAGTGGGGAACCACCCACCTGAATCTGTAGGGTTTTTTAGGGAAAAATATTAATGGGGTAACAATAATGAAGCTACTTCTAAAAGCCCTTTCTAAAAAAACAGACCATAAACTAAAATGAAGAATGATAATGACTAAAATGTGAAGTTATGCAGAATACCCACATCAAGAAAACTCAAGGGAGCTCAAAGTTATGATAATTCAACATTGTCAGTCAATAAGGATATGGTCATGAGATGAGCCATTAAAAAACTGGGTGTGAAACTTAAGATGGATCAAGTAAATCAACTGTCAAGTAGGGAAATTTCCAAACATGATATGAAATATAACTAAGTTTATTATCATATATAGTTCTCCATCATTCACTCAACAAATTCAGCGTAATATGCAACAACAGATGTATGGATTCTTGCAGCTGTCTAAAATTTGAACTCATTTTTGCAGCTGACAAAAAACTAACCTTTTCAGGAAGCGGTGCTGTGCTTCCTTCCTCTTCAACAGCGTGAGCTTTATCATTGCTTCCTGCTCCACTGTCGTGATCATCCATTTTCTTCTCCCCTGCTTCTTCCTTCTTGGCTCCACCAGCAGCGTCTCCAATTTCACCAATTCCAAACTCGTCTCCACCTCTGACACGAAAAGCTTCCTTCGACACCCGATTCTCTTCTGGAGTCGCTACCACAGCAGCTACCTTATCATTGACCGGTGGCGGCTGCTGATTGTTTCCTTCTTGCAACGGTTTCTCGTTATTATTAGGCACCACTTTTACTGCCGCTGCTGCCTTCCTCCTCCTTGTTCTCGTCGCAATGGCCTCCCCTTGCGGCTCGATCGGACTAAACACGTCTATCTTCTGCTTTGCCCGGCCCCTGCGCACTCCGCTACGCAGTACCGGCATCGTTCATCCTTCAAGAATCATCCTATGCTCAAAGCCCCAAACAGAGACCAAGATTCTCCTCATAAATCCACAAGAACACCACAAACCTAGTTTACTCCTCTAACCACACCCCACCGAACTCAAAACCCCAACCAATTAAGAACAGACAAAGATGCAACCCTAGAAAGCCGATTTCGACAATAAAAGAAGAGCCGTAAGAGAGAAATGCAACCAAAAGTTTCAGAGGAATGTACCAAACGCCGAATTAAGCACAGGAACAGATATCTCGCAATACAAACCCCCAACCGTTAATCACCGCTGAGAAATTTCTGGTCGGAGTGATTTCAGCGCGGGAGAAGAGGGGGGAGAGAGAGAGATCCCGACGGTGACCGAGAGGGAAAAGGGTTCAAGTGTCTGCACAGTGGAAAAGCGTACAACGTGTCAGTTTATCATTGAACCGGCATTGGCCCAAACCCGAATCTCAGCCCAATACATAGATTTATGGGCCTGGACTTCGGTTGCATATTGGGTCAGCCCAACCCATTAAAGTCATAAGAGATATTTTCTTTCTCAGTACTTTTCTTAATTTAGATTTAGTTTATTGTAGATTGAATTTTATGTGACAATTAGCATTGTTTAAATATTATCTAAATATGTCTATTAAAAATTATTTAATGATATATCAAGATAATCTTACATTTGTTTTCTAATTATTTTTTTATTTCAACATGAAACGGATCAACATTAACGTTCAAACATATGGTCAATAGTGCATATTTTATGGCAATCGGGCTACAGTATAGCCCAAGTTAGAGTAAAAGATCCCTTAAAATCCCCGGAACAGCCCAAGTTGTGGTATTTCTTTATTTGGTTATAGTCATATAATAAGCTTTCAAACCTTCTTTCAACCGTGTTTCAAACTCTCTTTTAAAAACCTCTCTCTCCCCTGTTTTCTAAAGCATTCTTCTCAAAATGGGGCTAGACTCAGTGTTAGGAGTGAAAATCCACTATCAAGAACAGTATGTTTGTGACATGCAACAAGCACTCCACTGATAATATTTGTGACGGGCAAGAATGTCCACCTCGACTACCTTCAGTTGGATTCCAGCCAAACTCCTTTAACCGAGTCTAAAACCAACAAAATATATAAACGTCCCATAATAGCTATATGCATACGTAAACAATAATTAACGTAACTAGATATTTCGAGTAATAATAATGAACCTAATTAGAAATTAGGGTTTAGAAGGTGTTATTGTAAAAGGAAGGTTTGAATTAGGTAAAGGATGGTGGCAAGCTTTATAAGTGAGTGGGTAGATGGGGAAAGGAAAGACGTTTGCATTCATGAAAAAATTGAGCCTTTTAAAAAGCATAACTCGCCTTTATAATTTTGACGCTTTTTCATTGTATACTCGAGGTTTTTAGTAAGTACTTCAATCTTCGGGCGCCGCACCTTGTTTTCTTATATTACCTATTTACGTTTTACAGCTGTCACACAATCACGAGGATATTAGTAAGAGTGAAATCATTCAGCACGCAACACTCCGCTCTCGTCACGGGAGTAGCTCCAGCAGTCCCCAACAGCTAACGGGTTTGGGACTGAGACCCTCGTGCCCAACTCTCAGAGCCAATCCTTTTTTCAAGATTAAGGATCTATTTTGTCAACTTCCTTAGCTTACATTGTTCCATGGTTGTTCACCTTGGAGACATGATATGGGTATGAAGTACGATCGGGCTAATTTGAATGAGTGAAATTATTAATCATGGTTTATGAGTTATGGGTAGGTAAAATTCACGTTCTTAGTTATTTTATTTTGTATTTGAATCTCGAAAGTAACTTTCGTTGGTCTGTCGAACTCGAGACATATGTTTGCCAACACGAGTAACTTTAAAGAAGCGAATAAAATGTTTATATAATATAGGGTTTAGGGTTGAATATTAAAAGTGGAAAATATTGAAAAACAAATGGACGGTTGGATTTTAATCAAACGGCCGCTTTTGGAATGCCTTAAGTGGTAAGTCTCTACCTCTCTATATATATTTATTTATTGTTTCTATTTTCTTTTAAATAATTATTAATAAAATATCATATCCTCCTCTCTTTGGATTTCAAGGAACCTTCCAACCAAATGCTTTTCTCATTTTTAATATTTATTATGTTTAAATTATCCATTTTTTTATATAATTAAAACTATTACTTAAATATGGTCGAATTCATGGAAACCGTCTTTCGAGCTCTTGAACTGTTTGAAAGAAGCTCATTTTTAAGGGAAGATAGCTACCGAGATCTGGAGGTTGATGACGACGAGTTGATCACTTAATCTTTATAATTATTTCATATAAATAAAGTCATTTAGTCAAATTTAAAAAAAAAAAAAAATTATAATCATGCATCATACTTTAAAACAAATTATATCATGACATTTAATTTTACACTTTAAAAGAATATATGATTGAAAATCTTGCAATAATTTGATGAATTTTTGTTGAATAAAAAAATAAATAATAATAATTAAAGCGGGAAGAAAATTAAATGGAAGATATTTTTAAAGAGGGGGGATGTATCGGATCAGAGAAATGAGAAGGCCGGCCGGTTTCTTTAGCATACTCCAACGTTGTACCGTACACAATAATGGTACCATTTTCCAGCTATCTCACGTCGGTAGAAAATGAGTACATTTTAAAATCATGAGATTAACGACAATAAGTAATGGGTCGAAGCAGACAATATATGCTAACAGTGGGTTTTGACTATTACAAATGGTATCAAAGCTTGACATCGGGCGGTAGACCAGTGAGAACACTGAGCCCTCAAGGTGGGTAGATTGTGAGATTACAAGTCGGTCTTTACAAAAGTGTGAAAACTTTTCCTTAGTAGATGTGCTTTAAAGTTGTAAAACTAACAGCATAACAGGCTGAAGCGAACAATATCTGCTAATGGTGGGCTTGAGCTGTTACATCACATCACATCGCTATGATACCTACTTGATTTGAACTATTTTGTTTTCACTCTCATCGGTTCGAGAAAAAAAAAAAATTAGGAGGTCACCCAACTAGAATTTTTTCAAGACAAACATACTGAAGCTTGAAGTTCTTATAATTTAGTTTTAAAAAAAAGATACACACAGTTGATATAAATAGTAATTATCAATTCTTTTAAGAATTTCTTAACTATAATTTAACATTCTCAAGATCAATTTTAATCGAATCGTGGTCTCCATTCATTCATTTAGCTATCTTTTACACGGGTGTCGCATCAACAGTCCTATTCATCAGTTTAGCTATATGCTATGTTATAATTGTAGTCTCTAACAAAACTGATGTAGAACGTGCACATGTTGAAAACCTCGAGCTAAAAGGAAGCATTGACAGATCTCATTAGAATACAAACCAAATCTCTCGCATGCCATATATATATATATTTAGAGAGAGAGAGAGAGAGAGAGAGAGAGAGAGAGAGAGAGAGTGGAATCCTTCACTGTTTGGTTAGTGGAGCTGTGGTGTTAAGGCTGTAAAAGCTCACCTTTTCTATGTTCAAAACGGCTTTTATTTTCAACATTTTCCATGTCATACATACATTACCATTTCATGAATTATAACTCTTTTATAATTTTGTAAAAAAGATTAAATAAATCATCGCTCGACATGACATAAAAATTGAGAGACTAATTATACGAACGAAATAATATTTTTAAATAAAATTAACTTAATCACCGCTCTTTAAATTATGCTCAATAACTTGAAATGAGTGTAATTATACGAATGAAATTGGTCAAAATAGCCACTTGAATTTTCGCTAGTATTTATATTTTTAATGTCTCTACAATGATATGATATTACCGACTTATAAACATATGATAATTCTCTAAATTAGTCAACGTGAGAACCTTCTCAATAATGTTTAATCCGTCTTTTTCAAATAATTTCTTCTTTTATTGGGCATATTTTATATTAATATAAGAGAGGGTAGATGTTGAATTAAATAAAAATTAATAAACTTATTAAATAGAAATAGAAATTTAAGGACTAAAAATAAAAATTAAACAAATTATAATAAATAAATTAGACAAAACAAACAACTCCCTTTATTTCCATTTTCTTTGCAAAACTAATACATGTGTTGTAATTAGCACAACAACAATGCCACGTGACTAAAAGATTATATATGATTATTGGCTTCGAACCGGCGGTGACCGGTGACCGGAGTCGGAATTCAGTTCTCGTCGGCCGTTGGTTGAAGTCTGAGCTCCTTGTAAAACCTGCTGATGTATTCATCGGCGGCTTTATCGACCGAGGAATCAGCGTTGGCGTCATGTAGAGGAAACGGAGAGTCAGTTATCCTTAGCTGGCGGACGCTCCCTGAGACAAGGGAGGGCGACGACGCGCCGCTGTGGTAGTTAAAAATCTCGACAGCAGCCTTAACGGCAGCAGCATCATCGTCGAGTGTTTGAGGAGCGTGAGCACACGCGAAGAAGGAGGTGTGGTTTTGGTTACGACGGCGTTTGTGGAAGGCAGGGAAGTGGAGAGAAGGGAAAGCGGGGCTATCGCTGCAGTTGAATTCGTAATCGTCGGGACCAACGGCGACGGGGAGTTGATCAGCGGAGGAGGAAGGAGTGGCGCCGCCGTGATAGTGGTGGTGGAACATGAGATTGGCAATGGCTTTTCCGGCGATTTTGCCGCGCTTCATCATGAGATTAAGGTCGAGAATGAGCTTGCTCTTGGAGATGCCTTTACGGAGAAGGAAATAAGCGACGCGTACCAATTTCCAGAGCCTTTTGGATATCACCGGAAGATTATTTTCCATTTTCTAGAGAGAGAGAGAGCGAAGAAGAGAGAGAAGGAGAGATTGAAAATGAGGTGTTTTTTCAACGCACTGAGAAGGGAAGGTTGAGGAGGGTATTTATAGGGGAAATTTGGGAGGCGCGGAGGGCGTATGGTTTAAGGAAACTCGGCGGTGGGTGTACGGTGTACTAATCAAATTCTATTATTTATTAATTATTGCAATTTCAGCCAATCATTTTCTCTTATTAAATATAATAATAATTTATTCACTTAAATTTCACTCATTATTGCTACCCTATCAGCCGCTTCAACGTGACATATTCTCTTAATACGTTTAACACGACACAAGTTTAATGCTAGTAGATATTATCCTCTTTGTCCCTATAAAAAAATATTTTGTTGCAAAATAGAAAATGGGGTTGAGCTGATTGATGAGTGCATTTTTAGCCTTTTACCTCAAAACTCTCGTGTGAAGCTACACGTGGTTGGCTACATACTGTTAAACGTCGAATAGATCATATATGTACATAATTTACTGATTTACTTGTTTGTTACTAAATCTATGATTTCATGGTGTGTTACACATGAGGTTGTGATCCATATAAGTCACAATGTCATTCAACCTAACACATACAAGTATAGCCAAAGTAAGCTGAGATGAGAAGGATGATCTGAGGTCACGGGGTGACTACCATAGGAAAAGTCTGCTCACTCCCACTATACATAGAAAGAGTGGGAATCTTTATGATGACCCACAATGAACGAAAAGGGGAATCTTAAGAGAAATTAAAGAGAGATTTTTTTTTTGTTAGCTCAATAAGACCGAGACATAGTAATATTAAATAATAATAATAATAATAATAAAACATGATATTTAAATGTTTTATTTTAATAATAAAGTGTGCTAATTACTATACACTATTGAGATTTGCGTAAGGAATTAAATTAGTGAAATGTGTGAGTAATTTGACACGTATTACAGTTTCAAACAACACGTGCTATTTAAGCCTGGCTGGACGGTGTGATTAAAAATAATATAGAGCACGTGATCAAAATGTTGATACCGCCGCTACTTCTAGCAATATCTGGGGAAAAAGGAGCTGGTTCAGCTTTTAGAAAGTTATGGGCCGAGATGGAAGTACAGGCCCAATGAGAATTACTTTACTTTGTCCAGATGGCCCACAATCGAGCCCAAAAAAACAATGTTGATGGGCTTTCAAAATGGGCTTTCAAATGGGCCTTCGACATGAATCACATCGTCAGGGCATACCGAATAACACCACATTTAATTTGTTTTTCTAAAATTATATATATATGAGTATGCAATTTAAATATATAAAAAAGAGTTTTCTTTTTGTTTATTTAATTAATTGTTTTTTAATGGTTGTCAATAATTGTCTTGGAAAATGGGATATGGAGTGTGTGTGTGGCTCAACACTGCAAACTCGTGAACCCTAAACCAACCCTTTTTATTTACCTTTTCTTCTTTTAATTTTTAAATTTTCTAAATAACACATTAAAGAATTAACTAGAAATTATTCTAAAATACATTAATTAAAATAGTATTTTAACCACGGGTTTATAAAATATATACTAATTTCTCTATTTACTTTGTTTATAAATCATCCCGCCATATTCATAGCCAACATAGGTTATGACGTCACTAAGAACTTTCAGAAAGATCTTGGCCAGTGAGCGATCATCATAAAACCTACATCACACCATAACAGATGAGTCATAGTCATAATACAGACAGTTCCATCTATTTATCTATGTTATTCATTGTCAAACGTAATTAAACGAAGAAGACATTGCTTGAGTATATCCGATTTTAACACTGCATTAATTGATCACCTAACTCCAAAAACCAAACTTAAAAGGAGACACCTTGTGATACTTCAACTGAAAGAAAAGTGAATTTTTTTTTTTGTTGATAACCAAGTTCAAATGAATGTTAACCATCAAAATTATATATATATATATATTTTTGATTGATCGTAAAAATAACGAAAAATGACATAAGTGTATTAAAAGATTATTCAACAAATAACGGTGAAGATGTGAGTTCATTAACTGAAACTAAAAAACAGAGAATATTATAATAAATCGAAAACTCGAGAGCTGTCGGCGTGTGAAAATTGCATCCGTTCGAACTTATTTGGAGGGAACAAAAAGGGAAGCACAAGTAGGCATAAATCTCTGGAAGATTTGTGCATGTTCATGATTCTTCACGTTAACTTGAGTAATTGACAAGTGAGTCTGCTTCCATCCACAGAAACTCCTTGCTTCATACTCATCACCAATAGCTATTATAAATAACTTCAACAACCATTAGAGTCCTCATTCATTTCAATCAAAACCCTTGAACCCATTCAAGTTCTTCAAGTTCTTCGAGACTTTTGTCAAAATGGCACCTCATGGAGAAGCTATTCCAAGGAGCAACAACTTCTCCAAGGCACTAAGGCTTTCATCCAATGCCCTCCAAAGAACAATCTCAGACATATCCATGGAGTTAGGGAAGGAGTTGGCTATAACATCGGATACCAAACAAGACGCACTTCCACCGATATCTGAGATCGAGGATGCGCGGTGTGAGTGTTGTGGAATGAGTGAGGAGTACACTCAGGAGTACATCGATCAAATGCGAGACAAGTTCCTTGGGAAGTTGATATGCGGGCTATGCTCTGAGGCTGTGGAAGGAGAGGTGGAGAAGCATGGAGGGAGCAAAGAGGCGGCGTTGAACACTCACATGAGCGCCTGCGCAAGGTTCAACAAATTGGGGAGGGCTTATCCGGTGTTGTTTCAGGCTGAGGCAATGAGAGAGATGTTGAAGAAGAGTAGGATGGATGGGAGAGGTGGTCTTAGAGCTAAGTCTTTGAGTCCTAGAGACAAAGCTGCACCAGCCCAAAAGAAAGGTGGGATTGCTAGGAGTTCAAGTTGCATTCCAGCCATCATAAGAACAGAGGATCTCAACAATCTCAAACTACAAAACTAAGTCATTTTGCTTGAGATCTCCTAATTTTAGCCACTTTAGCTGCTCTTTTCAGTGGTTCTTCAACACCTAGTTTCATAGCATGGTTTGAAAGGTCATTTTTTCTAGGTGGGCTTCTTAAACAAGTCAGTAAGCTTCTAGTTGAGTGTCAATGATGAAGGGTATCTGTTCTGGGAAACTATTGATATTAAGCTCTATGCCATCTTCATTTCTAACCTATTAACAGCATGTATCTATATGAAGCTTGTTCTAATAAAATATGGTCTTTTACTGAAGGGGCAGCCCAATTCATTGTCTTTCTCTCTCTCTTACAGAGATCCAAAGTTTACATAAACAAAATAACTAATAAAAGAGATCTTACATTAAACAAGTCTTCAACTTCATTTGGGGAATCTTAGCATCAGACAAAGGACCAGTTCACAAACATAAAGCAGATGCAGTGTGCATTTTCCTCTTCGTTTAGCACCTTCCAAGCCACAGCTCGTTCATACGAGACAGGTCGGCCCATGCTCGATAGGCATATGCCTCCTTGAAGACATGCAAATCCCTAAGAAAACAAGAGCAAGGTATTATTAATGACTTCGAGAATGATATACGACAATTTGCCATTGTAAAGAGATTGGTAAATCGGGTGGACCTGTTGCATTATCTGTGGAAACTCTGAGCAGAGGGTCTTTTTTCCATGGTCGTCAAATATCTTTTCCAAAGTTATGTCTTGAAGTGCGACTAAGGTTGTCTCGAGCATGTCGAGGCCTGCCTGATTGGCAAAAGTGAACACTGGCAATGCCTGCATAGACTACAAAGGTTATAAATGAAGTAATGCACATAAATATGAGAACTGAAATGGATTACTATAACAAGCTGTTCAAATTTTGATAACGTCTTTAAGATCAACGGAACTCTAAAGTCGTCCTAGTTGGAAACTAACAGTTCATCATTTCTCGAGATTTTAACGTCGTTCTTATCGAATATAATGCCATTTGCTCGATGTAAAATTTATTTTCGCAAGATGCTTTGTTACAAGGAACACACCTTTAGAGAGCAGCACATGATTGCATCTGAATGATGCCACAATGTTTTCAGGACAAGCTCCCCTCCTTCGATACCAGATTTTAATAGCTCCACCCCCAAGTAGCACCTGTAATAAGCAAGATTTAAGCCCTTTGAATAAGAAAGATGTTTTCTTAAACTCAGACAATTGTAAAAAACGAATGTCATTCCCATAGTAACATGATGATGATGATCTCTTTAACCAGTGGAATTGAAGAAACATGTAAGAAGATAAACTATACCTATAACTGTTGCAGATCCAACGAGCGAGCGTCTGTGCTTCAGGAGTGCCAAGTGGAGATCGTAGTCCGCCGTGTGAACTTAAATGAGAAGGTGAGAGAGCTAATGCAACCCTCTGGACCGATGATATAATACTACGAACATATTGTCGAGCCATAGATGCCACATGTTCTTGCATATGGCTCTCAAATGCAAATTCAAACGCAATCGTCATTACAGACCTTGAACACCCAGAATTTACAGAGTCATTTGGTGCTCTATTTCCAGCAGGACCAATTTCAAGAGCAGAAGCAAGATCGAGTGTGCGATTCGGGCTGGATGCTTCCTGAAACATTTTCTCAATAATATCAAAATAATAGGAGAGAGCTCAAATTCTACATTGCACAATGCCCCACCCTTCCTTTGATTCACTAATGAACCACACTTCACTAGCCCCAAAGAAACCATCGAAGAGAAGGAATAATCCAAACCATGATTTAATTACACCCACCTTTCCAGAATCAAGTGGTATGATCCGAAACCCTGAGGGTAATAGAGGCGCATCGTCGGCAAAAGAGGCATCAATTGGAGCAAAGATTAACTCAGCACAAGTGCCTATAGCGTTTTCATCCATTCCACTGCAGAGCTATCAGAACAGAAAACAACCATAAGGACCTAGAACTAGTTTTTTGATAGTCGCCATGAACTTGAAATGAAAGTGCGAGTAGGATATAAAGATGTTAGATCAAAACTCATTCTTG